TACTAGTTGGAAATTATTGTCTCTGTTTACAAATTTAATGGTCTTTACAGAGACATTTTCTCCCAAGTATGCTGCAATCTGAAAAAAAAAAAATTTAGTTTGTACCATGGGAGTGCGCCTTTTTCTTTTCATCCGTTAATGCCTTACACTGTGTACCCTTTCCTCCCTTTCTATAATTCCATTAATGCCCTCAAAAACCTGCTTGTTCTAAAACTTTGAGAACAACTCCAATGTTCACTTGTACGGTATACAGTATGTTGTTTTGTAGGCCTTGTAGTCTTAGCTTTTCCTCTAAGTCAGCATTATTTAGAAGAGGAAGATAATGTTGATATACTAGCAGTGAGTTTGGACAAGACTAGCAGTTGCTGTTTGCACATTCTCAGAAAGCTGATAAGAAACCAGGGGAAAGCACTGCATGGGGAATTGTGGCTTGAGCCCCGGCTCTGGAATGGAACCCTGGGGAACGTGGAGGTTGGTCGCTGGGGCCCTAGACTCAGCCTGTTGAATGATTATTCTTTTATTCTCTTAGGATGGACTTAAAAAACACTTAGTTGGTCCGGTATCTTTATACTTTAGTTTTCTACTTAATCCCTGAATTTGGGAATTCACTGTGTGGGAGTACAAAGGTGGCTTCTATTGTTAGTTGTGACATATGTGGTATGCGGACATACCTTGTCCACTGTACCCTACTCCCTTTTATTTTGTTACTTTATATTAGAAAGAATGGTTAATAAAATAGCAGATTGAAAGCAGTTACAACATGTGAGTTTGAGCCCAAAACGTGTATTGGTAATAGGAAGAAAGGGGAGAGCACAAGTGTATGTGTACATGATTATTTTTTAAGTGATGAGCAAATAGAGTACTGCATGTTGGTGTAGCCAGTGTCAAGAGGTTTGAGGGAAGGATTAGGTCTCGCATTGGATAACAGTTCGGTGCTTTCAGATCCGGGTCTGCTCAGTTACCGCCTTAAGCTTGCACTTCCGATGCTTCATAAAGTTATAGGAATGACTCTTATGTGCAATGGTTATCCAAACTTTGGGCCCGTATTATTACTCTGAAAGAGGATGGGCCAAAAAGAAACTGTGAAAGGTGTTTGGCAACGGGCAAGAGAGGCGCTCACAGACTCTTTGATGGTCAATTAGCCAGAAAATGTGCTAAAGACTGGGCGCTGCGCTGGATTATGGGCCCAGGAATGACCCCGAGGTCCTCTGTTTGAGCACAGAGACGATTATAAACCTCAAGGAGATGCCACAGAGGCTTTAATTAAGGGGCTTACTCACACCCCACTAAGTTAGGGAAATTAAACTCTTATGTGTGCTTCACTGATGTTTCTTTTGTCTGGTCTTCCACATATATTCTATTAAGAACACTATTTTCCCAAAGTCTGTTTTCCATTGGAAGCTTTTTCACTGTGATAGATATGAACAAAACTGAAAGTTTAATCATTGTGATATCTCCGTGCAAAGTTTGATCCAAGCATGGTTTCGTTAGGACCCTTTGGGCATGGGTGAAAAATTGTAGTATTTGTATCTTAATGTACCAGTAAGCCAGGAGCACATGAGTGAAAGAAAACTAATGTACCCTGAAGAGCTTGACTTTTAAATTTCTTAGCCACAGGGCAATAGATGTTCCTTGAATTAGCAACTTTATGTCTCTAGACCAAGATTGTTGCTTTTTCTCTAAATATGTTTTTGTTGTTGATAAAATAAAAATAGCTTTTGGACATTGGCTACCATCCAGGTCTGACTTCTCAAAAGCCTGCCCTGTGTTTAGTGGCGTGCGATGTGATGACTTCTGTTATTTCTGGACAGGCACTGGTCCCCATTGATTCCTCAGAGCTGGAGCACAGTACTCACCTCATCTGCTTGAGTCACTGAGCTAAACTGCCCTCCTCTCCAGCAGTGGGTTTTCCTTTGAACTCTTGGCCCTGACTGCTGCTTTCTGTGGTGTCCCTTTTGTTTTGTTAGTGAAGCAGTTCTGCCTACAAAGTTTGATTTGAACCATGAGGGTTTTGAAAACACAAATGCTTATGCTTCGTAGTTTCAAATGTTCTTCCAGGGTTTCTTATTCCAAGTGACATCTTTTTGGGTTCTCTCAAGGCCTGTTGGTGACTTGACGGCCCCTTTGTGTGCCTCTCAATTTGGGTACGTGGAGTTCAGCCTTGCTCTAGCTGAGCACGCAAAGTAAAAAGTGTTAAGTATTTGACCATAATTTGACCTGGTTAGAACTGAAAAGTGGCAAGAAAAATTAAAAGCGGGATTACAGTGTGTAGTATGTGGTTTTAGCAAAGTGGAATTTACACAGAACCCCAGTTTGAGGCTTAAGTTTTTGTGTGTGAGTAGGAGGCATAGTGTTGAACAGAGGGCAGAAGGCATTCTGGACACCTGCTCCTCTGGGACACAGTTGAGGATGCTCAGGGACTCGGGTTGGCCTGTGCTGGGTAACAGTTTGTCACTGATCATCTTAGAGTAAATACCTTTATGCTTGGGTATGTCTTAAATAAGGCATAATGTGAGTTTCAGTTCTCTTCACTTTTCTTTGGAAAGAGGGAAAACTGTGCAATGATGCAGATGTTTTTGACTGTGTACCTATAGCCAGCTAATGAGCTATAAGGCAAAGTTGGACTCAAACTTATACAGAGGTAGAGCTAGCAGTTAAAGGAGACTATAACTGAATTTTGCTTTTTAAAAAAAAACTGATTCAAAAATTGTCTCATGAAGTAAAAAGTTTATGTTCTTATCTTTTAGGCTTTATTTTCCTAACTTTGTCAGAGCTAGCACATCTGGCTTAAATTCTAAAATAGTTTGGTTTTATGCTTCAGTAAAAATGAATCCAATCAAATTCGAATTGAAGTTAGATAAAAGAAAAGGTTTTGTATAGCAAGGTTATCAGGGAAGGTCTTGAACGTTTCCTTTCTGAGTGGCCTTTAAAAATAGGCCAGTATCTTTTTCAGATTGCATGGGTGTGTTTGTGTGTGTGTGTGTATAGCTGCGGTTCTGTTTGAAGGGGTGCGAGGGCAATAGAACAAGTGTCTGTCCGCAATCCTGCAATCCTGCCTGGCCTGCGATTTCTGATTATACTGTCATCAGCACTATGCAGGTTTCCTTTAGTTGTCATGTGAGGATTTCTTGCCTTTTTATTTTGTTGAGGCGGATAATAAATTTTCATTTTGATAGAATTAAACTGTGCCATCTTTATCAGACTTTAGCAATAATTCATACCTTGTTGAACCTCTACATTATAAATCCAGTTTGTTTCCTAAATTTCTCTTCCTTGTCTTTCTCCTTATGTGTAGATTAGTGAATAAAGCCAGATATGTAACTTAAATTTCAGCAGCCAGGGTTTGATCCCCAGGCCTGTTATGCCAGCCCCGCCCTCAGGGTGCGCTGAGGCGGTGGTGGTGGAAACTGGGTGTGGTGGCGCGCATCTGTAATCCCAACTCTTGGGAGGCTGAAAACAGGAGAATCACTACCAGTCAGATCTACTTAGTGAGACCCTGTACACCCTGTACACCCTGTCCTAAATACAGAAAAAAAAAAAAAAAAAAAAAAAAAAAAAAAACTTAAATGTAGTTCATTGAAATTGAAGTAGAATTTTTTGGCTTGATAAAGTGTAAAAAATAGGTCATGTTATGTTATGCTACAGCCAGGTTGCTTTAGTTAAGGGTGCTAATGGAAAATGTTTTCTTGGCCCAACACAGCGGCAGAGCAGGACCTGTCATACCAGTTACTTGAGAGGCCCAGACCAGGGGACAAATTCAAGGCTAGGCTGGGCAACTTTGCAGCCCTGAGTCAACAAAACAAAACTGTGTTTGTGTATGTGAGTGGGCACTGGGGGTTCAGTTCCCTCTACTACAAAAATAGTAATAAAAATGATAAGGTTTTTTAGATCTTTTCCCCAGAAATACAAACAAACCTTTCTATGAATTTATCAACATGTATAATTCTGTCTCATTGGTATTAACGTAACAGTAGAGGGCCCCCTCCACCACAGCCAATCCTGTATTTCTGAGTTATGCTGACCTTGAACCGTGAGACTCAGCAGTTTGCTGTTCCATAAATAATGCACTCAGTCCAGGAGGCAGGCTGGAGGCGTGTGGCACGCCCCGCTGGGTATTTATAGTTGATGCCAGTAAATGTTCTGGTTCTATCAGTCAGGAACTACGGGCCTGATCTTTTTTCAAGTTGGTGGTGAGAGAAATGAATCAACGCTTTTTAAAACTTGAGTCTGGAGCATTGATGAACTCTGGTGGCGCTGCTGCCTTAGTGACCAAGGGGCACGCCTAGATGCTTGCTAGTTTGTGCTTAGCTGGTTAAACCGCAGCAAGCATTGCTGGTTTGCAAGCTGTGAGAGCACTGGCAGCAGATAAAGAGAGAACTTCGTGCCTGGCTTGAAGGGGAACAGGGACCGGCTCTGACTTGTTTGGGGCTGGCTGTGCTGTGGGTTTATGGAAGATGCTCGAGACTGCTTAGGAAGCTCTGACTGGCACGTTGGTCGCCCTCTGGTAACTTGGCCTGTAATTAGACACGTGGTACCCACAGCCTGCCCGTGACACTGCAGCTTGGGTTTCTCCCCGTAAGAAGGTGGGAAAGAGTGCGCAAGCCGAGTGAATGCATCCGTTCTTGGGCAAGTACCGCGGTGGACAAACCTGCTTTGCAGCCTGCTTTTCCCACATGAGCCGTCGGTTTCACCTTTCCTTTTCTTTACATTTCACACAGCCACCTCCAGGAGTGAGCCAGCGCCCATGGCCGCTGCGTGTTTTGTTCCTTCAGCTCTCATATTGCATCCTCCTGTTCTCGTGCTCGCCCCTTGCACTCTCTGTGGCAGGATGATGTGGTGGCCGATGCTTGTTGGTACTAGAAGGTGTGAGGGAGCACTCTTTCATGGCCAGTGGTTTAAGGAATAGTTATTTTTAAAGCAGACCGGCAGGCTTTTAGTGTTAAATGCCTATTGATATTTTTGCCACAAGTAACATTGATTTTTTTCCCCTTCTGTTTTAGGCCCTCCTTTCTTCCCTGGGCGGTGTGCTGAGATCTTTGCCAGGGGCCAGAGTGTTGGCAAGCTTGGAGTCCTTCATCCTGATGTCATCACCAAATTCGAGCTGACCATGCCGTGCTCAGCCCTGGAAATCAATGTCGAGCCCTTTTTGTGAAGATGGGTCTCTGCTGCATAATTGCCTCCCGAGTGCTCTGGCTTCTCCCCCAAGACTCCTTAGCCTCGCTCCGCAGGGAGCATCAATTTGTGCTTTAATGTTTAATAAAGAGAAAAGCACCGCCTGGCTACTCGGCAGCCGCATTAGGCGGGCTGGGGCAGCGCTGAATGTCGTCTGCTATGCTGGACTGTGGGGTGCCAGCGGGGTCCAGACCGGGTGGGGCAGGAGCAGCTGTGCAAGCAGGAAGCCTGCGCAGCCCACGGAGTGTCCTGCTGACTCCAGGGGAGTCCCCTCAGCGATGCAGCAGGGTGCTGCATTAGAGTGCACACTGCAGTGTGAGGTGGCTGGGCTTGAACCTTCTCCCTGGTATTTGACACGTATTTGTCATTGGGAAACAACAGAAAGTAACTAATTTTAGAAAACATATAAAAATTGATTATGGTCAAGGAGTTACAGCTTTTGAAGTCATTTTAAAGTGAAAGAAAAATCTGTCACACAGGTATTGAAGATACTCCAGGATGTATTTATTTGCGTATTCGTCCATATTAATGACACAGGACAGTGGCTTTTATTAGGGCGTATTCACCCTGGCAGAGGCATTTTTCCTCTCTCTAGCACTCAGAGAGGAAATCCAGGTGTTTGCAACACAGACGTGTGCTGCTGGAGAGGGGCCAGGAAGGCCAGCCTGCTGCAGCAAGCCGTCAGTTACGAAGCCAGGATCGTAAATACGCCCTTGCGCCACTGGTTTCTGCCTCATAGAGGGAAGCATAGGATCTTTTCTCTGAGGTGGTTTCTCCCAGTCCTCCTGTCTGTGTCCCCATTTCTACATTTCATGCTTCAGTCTAGAAACCATCTCTTGAAACAAGACCTACCATTTCTTGAAAAAAGAAACTGGGTCTAATGTTTGAGAAATTCTCAGTTCCTACTGAGATGATAACATGATAAAATATAAAATTTAGAAAGTCCCAGTAGAAATTGCTGATAAATCTAGGAAAATAAAATTGTTTTCATGGAGATTTTGCTAAGCTTACTAACAAAAAAAAAAAATGCAACCATGCGGGCATGGTGGCACGCGCCTGTAGTCCCAGCTACTCGGGAGGCTGAGGTGGGAGGATCACTTGAGTCCAGGAGTTCTGGGCTGCAGTGCGCTATGCCGATTGGGTGTCCGCACTAAGTTCGGCATCAATATGGTGACCTCCCGGGAGCGGGGGACCACCAGGTTGCCTAAGGAGGAGTGAACCGGCCCAGGTCGGAAACGGAGCAGGTCAAAAAACGCAACCGTGTTACAGCCTTGAATCAGGGCAGCATTGTCTAACACAGTAAGACTTGTAGGCACACGAACTTTCCCTAAAGACTGGGTAAATGTATAGTCGTTCAACATCATAACTCCAGGGAAAGGCAAATAGAAGCCACCGTGGTAACCTGTGGGCCATTCAGATTCAACTAGTGATCTCGGAACAACATGAACAGATCTTGAAGTGTTACGCTAACTGGGAAAGAGCCAAACCCAAGGTTCCGTGTGATTTCATTTGTACGACACTATAGAAAAGCCTAAGATTAGTAGCAGTTCAGGGGATGGAATTGACTTTAGAAGGTGAAGAGTGTGGGGCAGTGGAGACTGGGTGAGCTGAGGTAGAAGTCACTCTTCAGATGTAGGGTGTGGCCCCGTAAAGCTGTGAGGAAACCAGGACAGCATGTTGTGGTGTAATAATTTTAACTGCACCACAGCCGGTATGTACACAGGTAAAGTGGCAAGAATTTTGGGTTTGATAAATCTGCTCATGATAGTTTATTGTGTTATTGAGACATTAGGTTAGTTTCAGGTTCTCTACAATTAAAACCACAGCTTATGAATTGTGATAGCCATTGTTGAAGTGAGTGAACCCGCTCTGTTAGCAGCCAGGCACTGAATATTTTTTGGATGGCCAAAAATTACTTTTAGTGAAAGCACCACTAATACTCAGTTGTACAGCATATGCAGCACCACGGGATGTCGCTGCCCCGAGGGGTCAGTGCGGGAGGAAAAGGCATCTCGGCTGTGGAAGGAGAATAGAACCCTGTAGTGCAGGAGCGGAGACTGCACAGCCAGGTCTGGCTTGTGCTGGAAGAAGTGTCGGAGCTGGAGCCCTGGGAGTCTGTTGGGGAAGGCGTACTTCTATTAAGGAAAGCTAGGCGTAATTGGTTTTTGTCTTAGCATACATTCCCGACATTGTCACACTGCTTGTGTGCTCATCTTCTCATATGATCTTCACATTTTTATTTTGTGGTTTCATGGCATAGAATAGGAGTTTTCTATCTATAGGCCGAGAATAATTGAACTCAGCTTGGTCACTTGTTCAAGTCACATGGCCAGTACATCCTTGGAGACACCTAACACGGGGCTTGGCATTTGTGTTACCGACTTCACCCAAACACTGAGACTTCGCAAGTTTCTTTCAAATGTAAAAGATACTGAAAAACACGAAGTTAAAAGTCTGAAACCCACTGATTTAAAAAAATTGTATGACTGGTTACAGGAGGTTCCCCTGTTTAAGGGACTGTAGTTTTTTTCTGTTCTTCCTCAGTTGACGGGCATTGATTTCCAACCCTTTGCCATTGCAGTGTTTCAGCAAGCTCAAATAGCACTGGCATAGAGCCCAAGAAAAAGCAGTCCTAATGGATGCGACTGTGTAAACACCCACATTTGGTGCTTGATAGACACAGAAGCGCGTGGCATTCAGTATTTCTTAGATGGGACTTTTGCACTTGAGCGGTACAGTATTCCCCTAGCTTACATTCCTAGAGGCAGGCTTTGCCAGGTCAAAGGATGTGTTTTGAATTGAAAACACATTGAATGAGGATTCTTATACTTTAAGAGTAGCCTAACTAGAAAGCAGCCAGCCTCACTGCCGCTTCTCTGCGGTGAGGGGAGGGTAAGAAAGAACATTGCTCAAAATCTTGCTTCTCAATCTTAGCCTTCCGTGCTCCAAGTTTTGTATGAATATTACTAATCTTAGTGCTTGAGTATTGGCTTTGGCTCTTCTGCCCCTTTTATCAGAAAACAGACAGGTGCCTCTAAAGGGATACAGATATGTTAAGCAAAACATGTCCTTTTAGCATCTAAAGTGTTTGGTCCATTTGATATCTCCTGGGTTCTGCCTTTTGTTATTAGGATTTTTTGTGTACCCCCAGCACTATGTTTTGGAAGCCTGTCCCCTCATTGCAGTGGCATTTGAAAAGTAATTAGGTCCCTGTGATGAGATTAGTGACACGAAGTGATGGGCGAAGGCTGTGCTTTCTCTATCTCACCCTGCATTCACATGAAAGAGCTTGTGTGAGCACACAGCAAGATCGTGGTTTCCAGTGAGTCAGCAGAGACCTCAGAATGAAATCTGCCTTGATAGCATCTTGACTTTGAACTCCCAGCCTCTAGAACTGTGAGAAATAAATTGCATTGTTTGTGAACCTCGGCCCATGGCGTTTTGTTACTGCAGTCTGCACACACTGTGGCATTTTGAAAGCTTACGTAAAAAAGAAGAAACAGAAACTGGCATGCGGCGTTAAGGCAGTAGTACGCTTCTGGGATGATCGGAGCAGCCCCCCACGGCCCCGACCACATTTGGCATGGGGAAATTACCTTGATTAGAAGCAGAGGGGCGCAGGGCAAAGCAGACACAATGGAGTTTCAGTGTCCACTGTAGTTCAGGCCCGCTGCTCTGCTTGGGCTTCCCAGTGCACAGGAAAGACAACTGGATGCTGTAGCCAGACCGTAGGCTGAATAAGTGTCTCCATCAAAGGATGTAGTGGAATGTCTGGCCAGAGCTGTGTGTGTTCTCTTCCACAGCATGTGTGCAGTAAGGCAAGAATACACCTATGGGCCACACGCAAGTTCTCATTCGTGAAGTTTGGCCTTCATAGTCTTGGAAGAAGCCAGGAGCATCCTGTAATCTGCATTAGAAAGTTTGGAGCAGCCTTCCTGTGTTACGAGGCATGCTCAAGGCTGCTTCTGTACTGGAAGTAGATACTTGTCAGACACCAAATAAATCTGGCCTTTAAAATGGGAAGACCACATCAGTCTGGGACTGGAAGATTCCAAGTGGACCTCAGCCTGGACAGTGTGGGGACTTCGCAGCACTATCTCATAAACAAAAGGGGTGGGGTGAAGATCCAGCTCAGTGTGCAGCCCCTGGGTTCAATAAATGTGCCTTTTGATACCAAACTTGGAAGCAAAGAAGGATTTTGTATTTCCCACAAGCCTCAACTTTTTGTTATGAAGAATGAAAACAAGCCTGCCCCTAAAATAAACATTTCTTTTGGACTGTCAGGATACACCAGTGACAGCAGATGCAAGCCCTTCTAAACAGCCTCATGTGGTGCAGGACAGATAGAGAACCAAAGCCCAAGAACGGAGGGGTGGGGTTAGAGATCTCTTGGGTGAGTTTTGCGCAGAACATTTAAACAAGGTTGACTTGGGGTGATGCAGGTGAAGCAAGGTAAGCCAGACAGGCACCCCATAAACAAATTGTCCTGCAGGAAGATCAGTTAGGTGAGAGAGCTTGGGGAGTCAGCCTGGGCATACCTGCTGTGGAGGCCCTGGGCTGGGCTTTGTATCAGGGCGTCATGGAAACTCCTCTTTGATCTTCAAGATATACATCTTTTTATCTACCAGTACATAACTAAGATGGCTAAAATGGTCAGTTAGAATGTTCTGTGCGTTCTAGTCCCCACTCACAGTGCCACCCATCTGGTTCCCATGTGGCAACAGGGTCCCACAGACGAATCCTGAGAAGCCACCCCCATCCCTCAACCCAGGTTCACAGGTAGATGGCTGGTCCTTGCAGGCTCCAGGTAGTCCACAGCGCCAGCCTGTCCCTCTTCCAGTGACCAAGGGTAGCGCTGTGCATGCTAAAGAGACACTGACATTCTGTGAACACCTGCATTGAAAAAATCTGGTGTGTGTTGCAACCACGGGGACCCTGATGTCATACCAAGAAAGAGCAAGGCCAGCAGATGTGTTAAGGGTGTGCATTAAAGCGGCATTGCAGCCGGAACTCCTAGCTACATCTTAGCTTTTCTTGTTTGTTTTTGCATGCCATATAGACAAGCGTGGAAAAGGAAGATGAATTCTTGGCTTCATATAGCTCCCTCGTTCTCATGTGGCTACAGTTTTAAGAATTTAATATTCTATTCATGGCCCACATTCAGCTCATTCTTTATGTGCATCTTTAAATATTCAAGTCTGTCCTACAGGTGTGCCCCACTTTAAGAGAACAATGGGTGCATGCTGTGTTTAATTTATTGAAGCCTTATGTGTACAGAAAGGAGGGATTGTCCTATGATTTTTTTGGCGGAACCAGGGATTGAACTCGGGCCCTTGCGCTTGCCAAGGAAGCGCTTATTCTACTGAGCCATCTCCCCAGCCCCTGTCATATTTTTAATAGCGAAACCTTCAGTATGCTATCTTAAGTTTTTAAGCAGCTTTGAGGAAAATGTCTATGAAGAGGCAAGTGTATATCCCAATTCCACTCGGTTGTATGTAGCCTCTTACTAGGGAATCAGGGCTTCACTCAGAGAATTTGGGAGACCCCAGAAGAGCCAGGGTGAAACTTTACAAAGTTTCCCAGGACTAGTTAGGAAGCTGAGGAAGGAGAGGACTGAGGGAGGACCCAGGCCACATTCCCAAGGGGATGTGGACGTGAAGTTGTGTGTGTGGTTCAGTGCTGTGGAAGGGAATGGGGTGGTGGGAGAGTGTGGATGGCCTCTGGATGCCCCGTCCTTGAGAAGGGGCTCCTCACACTTCCTGTTGTTGGGATGAGGCTCTGTAGCATCCAAGCCCTGTGTACCCGCTTCCCTCCACCACAGCCCAGGGCTTGGGCTCACACGGACTCACAGATGCAGGTTTGGTTTGGGTATTTCTTGTAAGACCTGGAAATGTTTGGGGAAGCACTTCTGACCAGGGAAAATCCTATCTGTTTATGTTTGGCTCGTTAAGTACTTCTGTAGAGTCATCTTTGAGTTGCTGCAGCTCTCAAGCTGGAAGTAATTTCCCCTCTTCGCTCAGATTCCATGGCCTCGTTGTCTTTTTTCCTACAGCCTTAACACTTCAAGAGAACTTGAATCGCAGTTCTGTGATGCTATCTTCTCTCTCCTGGGAAAACTCCCCAGAACGTCATGTCCCCATGGTGCCCATCATATCAATGAAATAATGCAAGGTGTTATTAAAATAAATACAAGGTACATCCTGCTCACAGGGTGAATCAAGTCCTAAACATGCTCTTGCAAGTAAGAGTCAACTTGTATGATTTCAAATAGCAAGTGCAAGGCAGAGCATATTGTTGTAGTGATGTGAATATGACTTAGGGTGATCTTTTGAATCAGCAGGAAGAACACTCACGTATGAAACCTTTCAGTAGTCTTAATTAACCAGTAATAATACTGACCATTCAACACATAGTATATTCCCACATGCAATTAAAGGACACGCTTTAGCATCAGGCAGCAGGGCACTGAAGCATGCCGTGGTCCCATTAGTTTCCTGTTTATCATGCCTGTGCCCACTGTGAAGTTCATCAGTACATTCACATGATCAAATTATGCTAAAATCAAGCATTGTGTAGTGTGCCACTTCCTTTTGTCCCTTCTTTCCAACTCTAGTCCAATGAAAAAGATGCAGGTGAAGAAAATAATCCCAAGACACAGAATGCTGGTTTTCAAGGCATTTAATAAGAAATCAAACTCAAACAAAAATGATTTTATTTTTAAAAGAACAAATTTACATACAGTACATAAGCAGGACAGCTGAAGGCTTCCAAAATAGAAAGCTAGAACATAAGGCTGCAAAACAAACACCACATGCTTTGATTACACTTGGGAAACGAGTTGTCTTCGGGTGAGAAAATTTTGTTTCAGTGAACCATTGGGCAGGTTGTAGAGTGATTTCAGCTACTGCTATTTAAGGGTATGTAAGGCAAGGGTCTTACCTCTATGGGGTCCCTACCCTACCCCGAGTGTTTTGTTGCTACAGTGCAGTTCTGAGAAAAACTGCCATGAAATGACAGCTGTTCAAAATGAAAGTCATAGGGTGGACACCTTGACCCACACTCAGGCATGGGTTTGGGGGAGATGGGAGACAGGAAGAGGGTGTGATTCTGCCTGGCTCCTGGAGGGGACACCAATCCTTAGAGACACATGGTGGTGAGCTTGCCTTTTAAATTCTTAATTTCTAAGACTCCAGATCAAGAGAAGGGCTTTGAACCAAGACTAGAGCCGCACCAGCAGGGGGCAGTCTTTCTCCAGAGAGAAATTCTGCAGGTTTTGAAAGGAGGCCCAAACTCCACGGGACCCGCAGGGGTGTGTGAGACCCACAAGACACAGCGGCTGTGTGAGGTGCTCTGTGGGACAGCATGGACTGGACGAAGGCTAGCAGGGCCATTAGGGACCCAGCAGTGACCTTACACTCAACTGCTGCCTGATGTTCTAGGCCACAGAACATTAAATGCCTTGAATGTGGTTGGCGTGTTCCCCAGAACAGGCACCATGCAGGGTAGCCTTACTACTACTTGTTCTTTTTCCCTTGGTGCCAGCCTTGGAGGCCAAGTTTGTGCAACACCAGGCAGGTGCCTACATCCCCAGCCTTTTGCAAATGTGTTTAGTTTGAAGAGGGTCCCCTTGCCCAGGCTAGCCTTGAATCTGTGATCGTCCTGCTCAGCTGAGTAGCTGGACTTACTGGCATGTGCCATCCACCATGGTTGGCCACCATTACATTCTTTTCTTCGCCTACTGCCACTTTTTAAAAAGTGATTAATCATGACAGATTCTTTGGCCGTTCTTTAATGTTCTGTCAGTAACACATTCATTCTCAATCCAAATTTTGTAAATACAGCTTTAAATACACTCAGACTGCTGATCAACCTTTCTATTGTGGAGACTTCAAAGAGACAGCTGTAAAAGCTTTACATGAATTGCCACACCCACAGCTGTGCCAATGGTTACGGCCCCCTTTTTCAAAGATACAAGTGGAGAAAGCTGGTCCTTTTGTCTCTTGGCTTCAGACAAACCAACTAACAGCATTTGTTGTAAACAGAATCCAGCATTGCCCACTCTGGTCGGCAGCAGCAGACAGCCAAAGGTATGGGGCCTTGCCTCATCTAACCAGCAAACAGTGCATGGAAGAGGCCAGCGCTGGCCTGGCCCCTCCTGCAATCACAATGCTGCCCAGACTGGTCCATATGATACAAAAAGCTATCTAATACCGGGTCATTTTGATCCCTGCTTGACTGTAATAAATGTGAGAAAAGCATTAAGAAAACTGAGGATGTTCTAAAAATTACTCTTCTTGGGAAATTAGAGCACTAAGTCACATGCCAACAATCTTCCCAATAGCAGGGCCATGGAGATTTGAAATCAGGGAAAATGTGGTTTTGGGTTTAAACACAGGACATAAAGATTCAGACCTCAGGTTAAGGAGGTGAATTTTTCCCAACTATCTACGTGATAATGAAGTGTTAGAAATGTGAGACACTGGTTTTGGAGTTTGGGATACTTTTCCTTGGAAGATACTTGGTTAAATACATATTTAAGGTAACTTGTAAGAAAGTTGTTGATAGCTATTCTTCATTCTTCAGAACTAGGTGAGGTCCTGGGGAGGACCTGGCAGGCCTGTGCATGATGGTCACCCCCACCCTGCCTCTAAGGAGGACCGCACTGGGTTTAATGGGTGTCGTTATGTGTGGTTGGCATGTTTTCCCAAGACAGCCTCTCCCAAGTGGTTTTGCATTAATCACCCTTAAAGTTGTCAGCAGATAAGAAGTGGGAAGGCAGAGGGAGTCCCTGAGTCTGAGCAGTAGATGGGAAAATAGAATTAACAGGAGGCAAGTGAGACAAGAAGAACGTCAGGGAGGCCTGGCTGGCACCAAGCACTGTCGGGGAGGCCCTTCCCCTCTTGGTCAGGACCCTAAAGGATTAAGTGGGTCCATGCATTGATCCACTTTCACAGACAGAAGCCAGTTCAAAGCCATATGACAACCTAAAGACCCTTGAAGGTTGAACTGAGAGAGAACAGGAGTCTCTGAGTCCCAGATGGGCCCACCAGTGTCGAGGTGGCAGAGGCCAGTCACTTCGTGGGTCAGAAGGCCGTGGGAATAAAATGGGGGATGCTGTAGAATGTGTGCCCATGGAAGAGCAGCTCCATGTCAACATGAACTCCTGGAGACTGGGGCTGGGGAAACAGGCTCCTCACGCAGGCCCACAGCCTGCCCCTGCCTCCTCTCCGAGGAAGCTTTCTTCCAAGAGAACACAGGAAGTTGCCCCGACCAAAGAATGGGGCTGTTTGTGGTGCCACTCCTCTCCTGACTGAAGCTGTAATTTTAGAAATACGACTCAGCGCCTGGCAGAGTGATGACTGAAAATACTTGCTCTCTCTTCCTTCATCTTACTCCATCTTTGTCGTCCCTCCAGAGGCCAGTGGGGCTTTGACCCATCCCACTTCCTGTGCAGCCAGGACTAGTCCAAAGTCCATGTGACAGAAGGGGAGGGTGCCTGCCCTTGAAGAGCCCGGTGTGGGCTTCAGCTACAGTGCAGTGGCTACTGACTAATGGCGGCATTATTAGCACAGCAGCATAACCTATCTGATATCGACAACACAGGTATGATTTAAGTTTTTGTTGAAAGAAAAAGGAGCCGTCAATATTGCCCACCCAACAGTTTTCATGGCTCTCACATCCAGCGGGTGGTTTCCAACTCCCAAGGCTCAGAGCAATCCCAAAGACCTGTGCAGCATCGGCACAAAGGTCGTAGCACAGATGCCAACAGACGTGTAGGTGACAAACTTGTAAGGCACTTCGATCTCCAGTCTCCGCCTGGCCTCCTTGTTCCTGGTCACCACTTTGAACCATGAGAATAACACTTGCAGCGAGAGGTTTTGTACAAGCTGGCGAACCAAGAGGATCAACGCAATTCCCACTGTAAATTTGGTCAGACCTAAAATCAACTTGTCAGTGGTGAGGGGTGGGATGTTCTGGATTACAGGGAGAGGCTCAGCGGGTTTGGATACAAGGTGGAAGAAGTGATTGATCCAGAATCCTACAATCATTCCGGTCCCAGCAGCCAGAATGGTGGTGGTGTCGGCCCGGGTTGGGCTGTAGTACTCAGATACTGGGTAATTGTAACACAAGACAAAAGGCACAACAATGATGCACACAAGGAAGAGGGGGCTAGCTGAGTCCAGGCAGTCGATGAGGGTCCAGGCAGGGTAGGTGAGGACAATGAGGAACGCGGTGATCAGGACGCCACCCAGCACGTCCTGCAGGGACAGCAAAGAAAAGTGGGAACCAATGAGTGTTTTCTTGTTTCCACTTACTACTGTCAGTCAAATACTGGTAGTTGAATATTTAAATAAAATCACTACTTTATTTTATTTTATAGGATATGTCCAAAGAAAGTGTAGCACTATAAAATTTTGAAACGCAAATAGGAAAAAATGCATATGGCAAAATCACATTATTCATGTTACATTTTGTCTTCCAGTTTATCTCTATTTTCAAATAAATTCCTGTATTTCCTTCTTAATGAGTGACTACCATCTCACGTTCTTCATTCTTCATTATTATGTAGATCCTGTAAGTACGGCAATGCTCCCCTACAAGTCTTGTCAGAGTCTTTATGGAGCTGGCACTGTCCCTTCAGGGCAGGCCGGGGGGGGCAACAGGCTAGTTGGAGGGGGTTCATTTTAGGAGAAACACAGAGACACAGCAAGCCCAGCAGTGCTCCTTAGAGGATGCGCAGTGACACGCATGGGGGAGGTGTGGTTGGCAACAGGGCCCAAGAAGGCACTGGGTGCGGCAGCACCAAAGCTCTGCCTCGCCAAGCTTGGCACTGCCCCTCTGTTTTCAGGAGTAGGATTTCAAACAGTGTGCACACCCTTGCCACCCACCACCACCCCAGGGCTAGGGATAGAACCCAGGCCTTGCGTGTACTGCACAAGCGCTCTGCCACTGAGCTACATCCTCAGCCCAGCCAGTGTGCTTATAGTTTTACCAAGCAGATGTGCTATGCTTTAATTCATCCCACTTTTTTTTAACTTAGGACCCTGCACTTGCCAGGCAAGAGCTTATTCTACCGAGCTATCTCCCTGGCCCCATGTATCCCATTCTTTAGATCATTTTAAAATGTGATTTTCTTTCTTCCTTCCCCTCCCTTGCTGCACTGCTTAAAACATCGCTAACTCCTCAATATCATGCATCTTTTTTTTTAAAAAAAAGCATGTTAATGTTTTATTTCTTTTTATCTTTTCTAGAGGGACTTTATTATTTTTACTTCAAAATCATTACTGAAGTACCTTCACTTTTGGAAGGCCTGAGTAAGACTATACACTGAATATCCCCTTGCAATTAATGCCGCGAGATCATTCCATCTTTATCTAGAGGTAAGTGATACTTTGAGACAAATAATTATTGTAGTGTGAGCTTTTAATCAGAATAAAGCACTAAATGATGGTAATAAAAATGGCAGGGACATTTCACTGATTAAAGATGTTCCTATTGGGGCCGGGGAGATGGCTCAGTGGAATATGCGCTTCCCTGGCAAGCGCAAGGGCCTGAGTTCAATCCCCGGTTCCACCAAAAAAAAAAAAAAAAAAAAAGGAAGATGTTCCTATTGAACAAATTTTGAGAAGTTCCTTTCTTCATATATGAATTCTGAAGGGCCATGTTTGTGTGAAGTCAAAGAGTAAACATTATTACTGAAGCAGTGGCCAAGGTAATAAACCCGCAAGGGAGTCACGTGCACTAACAGGCAATTAATCAATTACTGTGACTCCCCTGCTCACCTGTTTCGAAACTCAGTTACATTGGCTATCATTTTCCCCTTCAAAATAGAAAAAAGATGAAAATCATGACCATATGGCTACTTTTGAAATTTTTACTAGCAGAAATTTTTATGATTATGTTTCAAGTATAGAAGACTAATTTTAAATTATGAGACAATTTCTTTAAAAAGTCACCTATTTTACAAGAATTATGATTGTGGGGTTTTTTTTTTCCCCTGTGGGACTCAATTAGGAGATTTAATATACTGTGCTACTATTTTCAACTACTGAAAATTTTGTTTTATAGAAAATAATTTTTAGAGGTAGGGTAGCCATATGAAAACAAGAAAATATAATTACTAAAATCATTCATAGCTGTATACTTCTGTGACTTTGTAATAATTGAGAACATCGTATGTTGTAAGTTGCCATTTTAAGTGCTCCTCTTCTTCCTTTTGCTTCCTCACTGTAAAACTTATCACAAGGTATAGCCCTCGCATCCTTAGTGGACCAATGCCGTTAGATCAGAGAATGAAGCACTTGCTGTAGCTGTGTTACCGAGCTCCACGTGGATTATTTTGAAACTTTACAACTGAAACATTTAAAATATGCTCCCCCAAGGCTCTGGAAAATCTGGAAAACACCGAACCCCAACAGACATGCATTGTAGACTGTGGGGAAGAAAACGGAGGGGACAGGAGTGAGGACGGGCAGGCGAGACTGTGTCTCAGAGGCCCGCCTGCACCTGCTCACACTTGCCACCCTTTGCCAGCTCTTTCTCTTGCATGAAGCTCTGGGAGACTGGAGACAAGACCTGACTAGGCCAATCAGAATGAATTGCATAGCTTTTTATTTTTTTAGTTTTTAAAAAATATACAGTAGCCTGGAGAGATAGCTCAGCGGCATAAGCACCTGCCTGGCAAGTGGAAGGTCCTGAGTTTGATTCCCAGTACAAAAAACAAAACAAACAAACCAAAAGACAAAATAGAAAAACAAAAACCAAACATCAGAACTGATACAAAGTTTCATTAAAACAAAGTAATAGGAATTTACAATGATTATTGTATTGCATAATGTTATATTCAAATTGGTTGTTTAGGTTATCAGATATAAACCTGCAAAACTGGTAAAAAAAAAAGTTGTAAGAAATTATAAAGGAGGAGAAAAACAAATAAAAATAAAGAAATTTCCAAAATATTTAAGCATTAACTCTCCTTTCAATAAACCAGCAGAAATCAGCAGTACATTTTCACAGCTTTTATTTATAATTCTTGGAGAGCAGTTTTCTCCACTGTGCCCTGTGGACTTAAATCCTTTACTTAGTAGACCGTTGACTGTTAGCTTTTAATGTATCTTACGCTGTTCCATGCTGGTTGTTGCTCGACCTTGAAAAGTCTTGCTTTAGATCTTGCCTTTTCAGGCCCTAAATATGCGCATGCCAGTCTGTCTTCCAGCCCTGTGTGTTTTCCCTCTTGAAGAGCGTGCACCAGAGCATCCCTCTCCGTTCTCCAGCAGCGTGCCTCTCCTGTGTCTGGGCCTCTCTGAACTCTAGCTATGCGTTTCTTTTAGTTGAATGCTACCCACCAGCTCTCCAAGCTCACTTTTCTAAAATAAAAATCACCGGCAAATTCTCTCCTCCAAATAGTAAAGAAAGCGAGTAGTTTGCAGGAAAGGAAATACATAAGTCTCAAATATTTAGAAATAATCCTGCACTTACTCATGAAACACAAAACTTAAACAATTCAGAGGAACTTAAAACTTGTGTTTCATAAAAATTATACATGTCTGTTTCTATTCATAGAAGTCCTACTAAGAATCACCCACCCTGGAAGCGAATCCGCACCACTCTGCGTGAATGAGGAGACACGCTGTGTAGATTCACGCAGTGGAATAGCTCTTAGCAATAAAAAGCAACAAACCACTGAGGTGTGCAAAGCTGAGGTGAAACCTCCAGGAAATGGTGCTGAATGGAAAAAGCCAAGCTCCAGGGACTACATCCTGTGCTAGGCGTGTGGCCCGCTCGAGAGGACACCGACACCGGGACAGAGAATCGATCCATGACTGAGCGTCTCAGAAGTCTGGGGAGGGACTGCAAAGGGATGGCATGAAGCAGGGTTGCTCTGCTGCTGCTGCCTGTGGTGCTGGGGCCTGAACCCTGGGCCTTCGCACGGAGCTGCACCTCTGGCCCCCCACCTTCTCTTAAGTTAGGGCCCCACTCATGATCCTCCTGCCTTACCCCCTGAGCAGTGTGTGCCACCACACTCTGCCTGCCGGGGGCTGCTCGTTAGGTCAGGCAACTATTCTCTCCCACAGTAGTGACTACAGACTGCACATGTGAACATTAATAGAACTGTGTGGCAAATGCAGAGTCCATCTCGCTGCTAATTAAAAATAAAATTGGAACTCAGCACCACGGCACATGTCCACAGTCCCAGCTACCTGGGAGGCAGAGGTGAGAGGGTCACTTGAGCCTAGGAGCTGGAATCCAGCCAGGGCAACATAGTGATGGCTCATGTAAAAAAAATAATCAGTCACAAATCAGTCAATCAATTGAATTTTGAACGAACAAACGGAAATGTAAGCCTTGGTGGTCACTTCTGCCTCCATTGGACAACTGGATACCATCACTGAGCACCAACTGTGGCTGTCAGCTGGCTCCGGACCCACCCACTCTCTCGCCACAACTTCCCACACAAACTCTGCTGAAAATTCTACTCGCCTACCCTGCTGGCAAAAGTATGGATGTTTAATGTGTCCCTGAACGTGCACCTTCATGAACCACATGGGGCAGAACTTGGGGGCAGCTTTAAAAATTACATGTTTATTTATCCTCCAATCCCACAGTCCCACTCTGGGACTTGGCCCGGGAGATAGGCAGCAGGATCAAAATATACAGTGGATGTTGGAAGCTTTAAAAATTTATTAGAGTACAAAACCCATTTCCATTAATCTCCTAAGAATGCTTTCCTCACTTGGAACACGCTTATTGTTCTCGCCACTTTCTGAAGCAGCCCTGGAAGTGCTCTTTCCTGAATGGCTTTAGCTGTGCTGTCACAGCTGCCCCAGTGTCCTGAATTGTTCAAAACATTGACCTTTCACGATCACTTTGACTGTGGGGAGGAGAGCAGCGGTCACAGGGTACCAGAGCTGGTGAATACACAGGTAGGACACACTGAGGTTTTCGCAGCCTGCCTCCTCACTGGATACCCTCAGCCTCAGCTGCCTCCCTATTTTTGCTGTGTAAAGCATTCACTCTTTAGAAAGACGCCCAGGAAAGAGGACTTCCATATCGCTTCATGGAGTGCCAAGAACAATGGGAAAAGCATGTTGAGCGGGGAGGGGAGTATTATGCAGCAAGTAATGGCAATGTATCTTTTCTTGTTAGACAGTTTTAAAAATTCGAACACTCACAATATTTTCTGACCACCCCTTGTAGAACAACAAGTGTAGATAGGATGAGAGTGATTCATGAGCACATGTGAGAGTGGTTTGGAAAA